TCAGAGTTGCCAGGGGCCCCCTGGGCGCCCAGACAAAGCTTCCACCTGCCCCCCGACATGACTCCTGCTGCTTGCTGTTTTGTTGTGGTTGTTGTTCGATTCCGACTCTTTGCAACCCCATGGACCAGATCACGCCAGGCCCTCCTGTCTTCTGTTGTGCTCCAGAGTTTGCTCAATTTCATGTTTGTTGCATCTACGACACTGTCTAACCATCTCATCCTTTGCCGTCCCCGCCGTCTTTGACCTTCAGTCTTTCCCAGCATCAGGGTCTTCTCCAGCGAGTGCTCCCTTCTTATTGGGTGGCCAAAGTATTTGAGCTTCAGTTCCATTATCTGGCCTTCCAGGGAACAGTCAGGGTTGATTTCTTTTAGGATTGACTGATTTGATCTCCCTGCAGTCCAAGGGACTCTCAAGAGTCTTCTCCAGAGGCAACCGTTAGGTGGCTAAAGCTGGGAACCAGGAGTCTCTCACGGTACATAGGAGCCCTCCAGACAACACAACTTCCTCCTGCACATCTGTAGAGATAAGCGTTTCAGCAAAGGCAGAACAGCAGGGATAGGAATGCAATAACAATTAACAAGACACAGAATGAACTCCCCAACCCCCATGGCAGCATAGCTGACACACTGTTTCCACGACTTCCCCTTCTATTTGCCAAGGAGTGATGGGGCCGGATGCCATGATCTTAGTTTTTTTGATGTTGAGCTTCAAGCCCACTTTTGCGCTCTCCTCTTTCAGTCTTAGCAAGAGGCTCTTTAGGTTCTCTTCACTTTCTGCCATTAGAGTGGCATCGTCAGTGATAATAATAACAATACCAATAACAATAAAAACAATTGCCATCCCCATTCATTTGTGGCAGGCATAACTCATCAGAAAATAAAACTAGAAGTCTCAGAACTGGCCAGCCACTTCAGGGTGATGGTGGGAGTTCCAGGGTAAAAAACGAAAGAATATCCTGGCCCAGGTTATCTCCGGACTCCCTTCCCGTGATACTTCCAATGGAAGCTGAGTCAAACACATGCCTGTCACGCGATCCTGCAAAGCCCATCCTTTCACGTCATCCTTGCACAGGGGCCATGCCAATCTTCTCTGTATCATTCCAGTTTTAGTCTATGCGCTGCCTTTGAACGATACAGAGAAGACTGGCATGGCCCCTGCACAAGGATGACGCTAAGCCCATCAACCAAGATAGCCCTGCAACAAGGCAAGACCATCAAGCAAGGCTAATGGTTGCTACAGTAACTGCCAGGGTGCAGCCTCCTAACAAGGTCATTGTTTCCAACAGTCTGTTTCTCTCTTCCTTTCCTTCCACCCAGCTCCATAGTTTTCTCTGCTTGGTGTGTTGTTGCAAAATATTTATTTATTTATTTAATTCAATTTATTAGTCTGCCCTTCCCTGCAAGCAGGGCTCAGGGCAGCTTACACCAGAAGGCAAATACAATAGATAATGAAAATGAAGAATAACGCTAAAATACTTAAAGCTCAACATCAAAAAAACTAAGATCATGGCATCCGGCCCCATCACTCCTTGGCAAATAGAAGGGGAAGTCGTGGAAGTAGTGACAGACTTTGCGTTCCTGGGATCCCAGATCACCGCAGACTGTGACTGCAGCCATGAAATTAAAAGACGCCTGCTCCTTGGGAGGAAAGCGATGGCGAACCTAAACAGCATGATGAAAAGTAGAGACATCACCCTGCCAACAAAAGTCCGCATGGTCAAAGCAATGGTATTCCCAGTAGTCATGTATGGCTGCGAGAGTTGGACTATAAGGAAGGCCGAGCGCCGAAGAATAGATGCTTTTGAACTATGGTGCTGGAGAAGACTCTTGAGAGTCCCTTGGACTGCAAGAAGATCCAATCAGTCAATCCTAAAAGAAATCAACCCTGACTGTTCCCTGGAAGGCCAGATAATGAAACTGAAGCTCAAATACTTTGGCCACCCAATGAGAAGGGAGCACTCCCTGGAGAAGACCCTGATGCTGGGAAAGATTGAAGGTCAAAGAAGACGGGGAGGGCAAAGGATGAGATGGCTGGACAGTGCCATAGATTCAACGAACATGAAATTGAGCCAACTTTAGAGGACGGCGGAAGACAGGAAAACCTGGCGTGATCTGGTCCATGGGGTCGTGAAGAGTCGGACTCAACTGTGCAACTGAACAACAACAACTTTAAAACATCAACAACACACCAGCATATGATCCAAGACAGCAGACAGAATTTCAGGTCCCACCAATTCCCTGGGTGGAGGGGGTGTGGAGGAGTGAGGGGGAGGTGGGGATATCGGAGTGCTAGACTGTTGCTGTCCTCAACCAAATGCCTGGCAGAACACCTCTGCCTTACATGCCCTACGGAATGATAGTGCCGTAGGGCGCGGATGTTCTCTGGCAGAGAGTTCCACCAGGCGGGGGCCAAGGTCAAAAAGGCCCTGGCCCTAGTTGAGGACAGCTGGATCTCTCCCTGGCCGGGACCACCAGAAGGTTCTTATTCCCAGAGTGTGATGCTCTTCCAAGGGGCATACTGGGAGAAGCGGTCCCAAAGATATGTGGGTCCCTGACCACTCAGAGCCTTAAAGGGCAAAACAAGAACCTTGTAACCGGATCTGGTGCTGCACTGGAAGCCCGTCAAGCTCACGCAGCCCAGGTTGAATGTGTGCCATCTGAGGGGTCCCCATAAGGACCTGCGTGGCTGCATTCTGGATCAGTTGGAGCTTCCAGGTCAGGTGCAAGGGCAGGCCCGTGTAGAGCAAATTACGGTAGTCTATCCTGGAGGTGACCATTGCCTTGCCTTTTCTTCTCCTTAACCTTTCTTCCTATTTTCCATACTCTTCTCCTCCTTCATTTTGCTCTCTTCTTTTCGTGATTTCTCTCCATCACTTTTTCCTCCCCTGCCCCCTTAAGGGCCTAGGTTTGCCAGATGCTCCCAGCAAACCCATTTGTTGCACACCAGTGCCTGAAACTCTGGTGGAGGGGAAATGAGGGGCCTCTGTAGGCATTTGGTTTGTTTGGGGGTTTGGGGGTTGTTGTTGTTTTTTGTTGTTGTTGCAAATCTTAGAGGGTCCTCTCGACATCATGTTACTTCTGGCTTTCACAGGAAGTAACATCAGCCTGTTGGCGTGGTGCCAGTGTGCCTGCCTCCACTCCCAGACACTCTGGGGGGTTCCAGGCTGTAAACTATCCCAAAGGATATCAAGAGACGGGTATACAGCCAGGTCACCATGTCCAGGGGGATAACACTTGCACCTTCTACAAAGTGCGGCAGTAGAACTGAATGACCTGATCCATGTCGTAAGATGTTACAGATGTCACACACTTAAATCCATGAGAAGCTGCTGCCATGCAGAACCATTTTTGGTGACCTCTAAGTCGGAGCAGTACCATTTGAACAGGTTCTCAGTTGCTCTGATGGAATAAAAAAACAAGTGTTAACATCTCTCTATCCAAGCTTTTTAATCTGGATATTTAGCTAAGATGTCCAAAACACATCACCAGAAAGACAGAGTCAGCTCCTCTGCAAAGTTCCAGAGATCTAGTTACTGCCAGAGCCCCCAACATCCTGTGGCATACCTTCTCTTTATAGAAGCCGTTGGCTCGGTGCAGCTGAGAGCAGATGGTCATAATGACTTGGCTGACAGAAGCTGTCAGCACCAATCCTCCTGTCTCACATGATTTTAAAAATGCCACCTGGGGAGTGCAAAGTGTCTTGCTGCATGCATACAAAATTACTGCCCATGCCATGTTTCGTGACCATGGCACCAAACAATGTGTGCATGCTACAGTCACTAAAGGTTATGCATCATTCTAAGCTCTACACTATGATAGGTTGAAAAGAGTTTTTCATTTCTTGGACTAAACACACAGTATGGCTCACTGCAGTGGAGCTGATGGTCTCCCCTGGCATATGTGGGATTTTGGCACATTTCTGAAAAGACAGAATATGCAATCAGGCTCTTTGTAAGCCTCAGGGTGAAACGGCAGAGCTGGGGCCAAAATTATATGTGCATTTCCAAATGTTTTAATGAGTGTGCGCCGCAAACTTTCTTCAGTTAACATGCTTTACTGCTGTTCCTATCTTTTGCATTTTCACCCATTATACGTCGATGTACACCCTACAGCTACTTGCAGGAAACATTTCTCTCCATCCCCCTTCAACTGGATACTCTGAATACTAGCCCATACTGCCCTGCATCTACACTCTGCCATTAGCAACAGTCACTCACTTGTCTAAGTATGAAATTACCTTCCCTGTTTTATTTATTTTACTATGTTTATAGTCCATTCTTCTCATTGTGACTCAAGGTGGCTTACACAGAGTAAACAGATGTGATCAATAGGATGAGGCATTTAGTGAGCAAACTAGAGCCCCACCCTGCCTGCTTCAGGTGTGTCCTGGCCAGACTGAAGCGGCTGCCACCCTCAGCCAAGGGGAGCTGCGCCTGCAAGTCAGGCCCCTCAGCTGATCTCCACCATCCCTTTCCCTTTATAGTATTTGTTCTGAACCATTCAGATTATAGTATAGCCCTATTGTCTTTACAGAAATGCCCTTCTGAACAATTCTATTTTGCACAGTTGGCTGAATTACAGGAGCATGGGAAATTTCCTGACCTCCCCAGACAAGGCTTTTCACACAGTAGGGGCCAGAACAGAGCATGTACCTGTATGAGCAGCTGCTGATCTTGCCCATTTGCAAGATGGCCCTGATGAGTGAAACCAGGGGTCATTTGGGGGGGGACGCGGGGGGATGCCATCCCCCCGGGTGAGGTGCGGGAGGGCGGGGCCTGGAGCTCCCTGCTGGTGCCCGCTGGAGGTCGCCGCCGGCTGTGGGGAGGACACACTTCCGGTGATGTCAGGGTGTGTGGCATATGCTAATGAGTTATGCTAATGAGTCCCCCTAGCTCTTTTTCTACGAAATGACCCCTGCTAAAGCCCGCTGTGACTCTGCCTTGGTGCAATCGGCCTCATGAAAACTGAAATTGTGTCTCCTTTGTCCTTCTATAGGCTTCTCACCGTTACCCTGTGAGGCCAGGCAGGGGTGGGCCGGGAGCAGAATGCCAAGATGGTAGCCCCACCACACATCCCTGGTCCAGACTGCCTGCGCCCGTTCACCCGTGAGTCCTTGGCGGAGATCGAGCAGCGCATTGCCGAGGCGGCGGTCAAGGACTTGAAGGCGCACCATGAAGAGGTTCTGGAAGAAGTTCCGGAGCTCAAGCCCCGCAGTGACCTGGAACAAGGGAAAGGCCTTCCGATGATCTACGGGGACCCACCCTTGGAGTTAATCGGGGTGGCCCTGGAGGAGCTTGACCCCTTCTATAAGAATCAAAAGGTGAGTGGGGAGAGTTAGGGGAGAAGAAGAGAGGGGCATTGAGGCCTTGTGAGTCTGGCCATGGAATCAAGCTGGATACACGCATCCCAAGTGCACATCATAGAGCAGATGCCTTTCTAAAGTCCAGGGCTATTTTTGGGCAGGAACGCACAGGAACGGAGTTCCGGTTGGCTCCCGAGTTGGCCACAGCCAGCAGGAACTCATTAGCATAATAGGCCACACCCAACAGCAGAAACTCATTAGGACTGGCTACATTAGGGGTGTGTGGCCTAACATGCAAAGGAGTTCCTGCTACAAAAAAAGGCCCTGGGTTTGGACAACAAACAAGGTAAACAGAATAAGAAGCAAAAGGTGGGTGTGGCTGGATAAGCACACTTCTGGTAACATGGGGGTGCGGCCTAATGTGCTAATGAGCTGTGCTGTCAGGGCTGTGGCCTAATATGCTAACTGATATGCTAATGAGTTCCTGCTGGGATTTTTCTACAAAAAAAGCCCTGCTAAAGTCCAATGTCTGGAAGGGATGTCATCGCATCGCCAGCAATGCAGGGAAGATCCGGTATTTGGGCAAAAACTATATGGTAGAAATGTCTTCTATTACAGAATTTCCCCCCCAAATAGTAGAGTGTCCCTGTGTCACTGGCAACATAATGACCTCACTTCCAGTGTGTGTTGGAAGTGACTTCACCGCACTGCGGATGATGCAAGCCCCTAGGCCTAGTTTTTCTGCCGGTAAGTCTCCCCCACCCCCACCCGTTGCCATGGAGTACCTGGCAACTCCAGAATGTAGAGATCAGTTCCCCTGGAGGACAGGGCTGCTTTGGCGGGTGGAATCTGTGGCATTATACTCTGATGAGGCCCCTTCCCAGACTCCACACTCAAATCTCCAGGAAGTTCCCAACCTGGAGCCGGCAGCCCCATCTGAGGGGCAGGGCAGGGAGGCAGGGCTTTACCAGTTCCATTGTCCATTGAATTTCTGCCATGGTTCCCTCCAGTGTTAGAAGTGTATACGATGCCACCAAAGGTAGTGTGCAGTGGGCATGCCCTGGCAAGTTTCTGGCAGTCACAGCAAATCCCCTTCATCCAAAGGCTGGTGAAGCAAACCAGAAATAGACCTGTCCTGGATTCAGATTCATGTTCTCGGCCACCACGGGGAATCTCCTCCCCCCTTCATCTGCCACCACCTCGACTGTGTGAAGCTGGAATCGGTTTTATTCCTTTTTGTTGGCCTTCGGCACTCAAGGCAAACAGGTGCAGGAAGACTGCACCTGGGCACTGACCAGACCCGGCCCACTTGGTGTGGGCACCTTCCATCCATACCCTGGGAACAGAACCGCCACAGCCCTGCCCCACACGAGGCTTGGCTGGCTCTCGGCCACTCTTTTGAAACAGGCTCTGCAGCCAGGGTTCTGACTCTTGGGGGCAAGCAAGATGAAATGTGAGGAGCGCTTTGCGTGGAGTTCCATGTTCTCCCCCCCAGTCTAAATAGCTGGACTGAAACTCCATTTGAATTGGCACATGCAACAAGCCCCACCCCCTTCCTGCTAAAGCCCGCTGTGACTCTGCCTTGGTGCAATCGGCCTCATGAAAAATGAAATTGTGTCTCCTTTGTCCTTCTATAGGCTTCTCACCGTTACCCTGTGAGGCCAGGCAGGGGTGGGCCGGGAGCAGAATGCCAAGATGGTAGCCCCACCACACATCCCTGGTCCAGACTGCCTGCGCCCGTTCACCCGTGAGTCCTTGGCGGAGATCGAGCAGCGCATTGCCGAGGCGGCGGTCAAGGACTTGAAGGCGCACCATGAAGAGGTTCTGGAAGAAGTTCCGGAGCTCAAGCCCCGCAGTGACCTGGAACAAGGGAAAGGCCTTCCGATGATCTACGGGGACCCACCCTTGGAGTTAATCGGGGTGGCCTTGGAAGAGCTTGACCCCTTCTATAAGAATCAAAAGGTGAGTGGGGAGAGTTAGGGGAGAAGAAGAGAGGGGCATTGAGGCCTTGTGAGTCTGGCCATGGAATCAAGCTGGATACACGCATCCCAAGTGCACATCATAGAGCAGATGCCTTTCTACAGTCCAGTGTCTGGAAGTGATGTCACCGCATCGCCAGCAATGCAGGGAAGATTCGGTATTTGGGCGAAAACTCTATGGTAGAAATGACTTCTATTACAGAGTTCCCCCCCCAAATAGTAGAGTGTCCCTGTGTCACTGGCAACATAATGACCTCACTTCCAGTGTGTGCTGGAAGTGACATCACCGCACTGCGGATGATGCAAGCCCCTAGGCCTAGTTTTTCTGCCGGATGTCAGGGGGTGTGGCATATGCAAATAAGTTATGCTAAAGAGTTATGCTAATGAGCTCCTGCACCTCTTTTTCTACGAAATGACCCCTGATCAGATGTAAGAGGCAGACGATTCCTTTAGAAGACAATTTGCAGTGGGGCTAGAGGCTACTGGAACCCTCTTTCTTTCTCTCTTTTTCTTTCTCAGACGTACATCCTTCTCAACAAAGGGAAGACCATTTTCCGGTTCAGCGCTACTCCTGCCCTCTATATGTTAGACCCGTTCAATATTGTCCGGAGGGGTGCCATCCAAGTGCTGATCCATTCATATCCTTCATGCTGGCTGGGACCGTGGGGTGGGCCCTACTGAGGGTTGTTGTGATTTCTAGAGAATGTAGATCTTGACAGCCATAGATTCAGGAACACGTCCTCGTGCTTTGTGGAGGCGCCACTGACAGCAGCGGGTCTTTGGCCTCTCCAGACTTAGGATGCTCTGAGCTGCAGGCACATGACGAGAAGACACCTTATGTCGGAGTCATGTGACCGAGAGAGTAGGAACCAGAATTATGATCTCACCAATGTCAAGTCCAAGGCTATGGGGCAGGGCTGCCAACCTCCAGGTGGGATCTTGTTGTGTAGCAGGGTTCAAAAAGACAAGACACAAACGAATGCTGGAAACTCTGAACTCTCGCCAGGCTGAGTACAGATATTTATTCAAAATAATTCCTCCGTCCCCTCCTTTTTTCCTCCCTGCGTAAGGGAAATTTACAGGCATACGTTCATGGCATGGAATGTGTTGATCCCGAAAGCTCACAACTGACAAAAATGAATCAAGCGCTATGAAAATAAATTTAAGATACTGATGGTAAGGCATGTTTGGTCATATCGAATCGTGATGCCCCAGTTCAGTAGCTCTGGTGCTCACGTAAGCATTCCATGTACATTTTTCTCCATGAAAGGAAGGATTAGTCCATTGCTTTTCAGTGTTATTAGGGAATGTTTCTCAGGTGAAATCTTTCTGTGCATATAAGAATATTATTTCACCCCTGAAAGAATGGGGAATTCCTTGGTTGGGGAGACCCAGAAAGAGCACTGGGTAACAGTCTGAGCAGAACCGTATCCATCTGTGCTCATTCACTGGAGTGTTTGGCCTTGGTTTCAGACAGGGTTCTTTTTGTAGCAGGGACTCCTTTGCCTATTAGGCGACAGACCCCTAACGTAGCCAATCCTCCAAGAGCTTACAGTAGCCCCCTGTAAGAAGAGCTCTGTAAACTCTTGGAGGATTGGCTACATTAGGGGTGTGTTGCCTAATATGCAAAGGAGTCCCTGCTACAATAAGAGCCTAAGAAGTTCCCATCTAAACGTGCCCAATTATTAGATTTGTTGGAGACCTTGCTTTGAGTACCCTGGAGGTAAGGTGGGTTGGTACCAGTGAGAAAGTCTTCTCTTTGGGGGCACTATATTTGTGGAACTTCCTCTCCGGGCTTATTCACTAAACATTTAATTTGGAACGATTGGCTTGGCTGTTTACTGCCACTAGCCTGGGTTAATCTAGTACCTTTTTGTCCCTGAATCGGTCTGGTTACAGACTCTATCTTTGAACAAAAGGAATTTCAGACCCTGACTCTGTCTAGTTTGCCATTAGAAATTGTGACTTTGGCTGAGAATGTGCAATGATACAGCATTGAGTGATTGTTGTGCATTCCATGAGGAAGTCTGATCCCAAGTAGCTGTAAACACTAGGAAAGCACTTCTTAGTACTGAGAGAAAGCTTTAGTTGATAGAGGGGGCAATGTTCTTAAAACTTGTCTAAAGCTTGTCCAAATGGACTTTTATACCAAATGGACTTTTATAACAGACGACTCAATGATGTTTGGCCCTAACTGATAATATGGGGTAAGGAGAATTATGGATTGCTGAATTTTTGATCTTATTTGAACAAAAAATGAGAGAAAATTAAGTCATGCCTCCTCTGAGGAGTGAGGTGCCACCATGGTACTGGGAAATGTAGAAAACGTCCAGGAGGAAAGCAGGTTTGCAAGCAGCTTTTCTTTTCTTAGGAGCAGCTTTTCTTTTCGTGACAGAAGTACCCTTTTTTTTAAAGTCCTCCTGCTCTGGGGATGTCTGGAAGTCTTGGGGCCTCCAAAGACCTCCCCCTCCCCTCTCCTCCTCCTACTTCCAAGGAGTTTGAGGGTTGAGAGACCCAGAAGCCTGTGAGAGTCCTGTCTCTTCACCCCCTGGATTCTTGAATAGGTAGCTATGAAACTGCACCAGCTTTCTGGTGAAGAAACTGAGCTAAAAATTAGAAGGTCAGAAGGGTGGCGGGGTGGCAATTAATAGCTTGGCTTTTAGATTTAGATTGGGTAATATGCATTAAATTTGCTCTCATGTTTGCAATGTTTTGTTTCAAGTGTATTGGCAATGCCTAGCGGTTTGTCCATGCTTTTTCATATGCATTCCTGTATTGTTCACCTGATTTAGTTTGCAGTTTGCAATTTGTTTTGTAGTGTATTGTGCAATAATGTCTTCCAATAAACCTTTTAATTCATATCAGTAACACTCTGGAGTCTGTGTCTTCCTACTGACGGTTGTGTACCCACTGGGGTGATAAGAACCCATCGGAATAGAGTCCTCCTGCTTAAGGGGACTGAATTAACAGCTTGACTGGCTTTTAGGATTGCCAACTATGGGTTGGGGAACAACTGGAGACTTTGGGGTGTGTGTGGAGCCTGGGGAAGGCAGGGTTTGGGAAGGGGAAGGATCTCAGTGGGGGTCACCCTTTGACTCTTCCTTCAGCGTTCTCTTAAACTAAACTCATTTTTAGAAGTTCCCTGTTTTTGAAATTAAATTTGACCATGGTAGACTTTCTGTCCAACTTTTCACTAAATGTACATTGGATCTTATAGCACATTGGCCACTGTTTCCAGTTAGCTTGATGACATGTAGGTCTCTCACCAGATGCTGAACACTGCTCAGTATTTAGTTCAGGACTGTCTCCCTTCTAATTGGTAACAGAAATATATACATTAATCATATAAATGGAAAATACCTTTTTCAAATAAGTCATAATGGTATTTGAAGGACAGTTTAGGGCTCTTCACATCCCATCTTCTCATTATTATGCTAGGCAACCAGTAAAAACTCCTAAACGCCACATATTTCTCTTAATCTCTGTCCACAATATTCAGTTTCATTACTATGATTTGGCTGATTTATCTGCTCTCTTCTATATTTTAATGGCGGGAGCTGCAAAGTAACCCCATAAATTTGTTTCACTTCCTTAAGTTGTGATACTCAAGGTCGTTAATGCCCCTAAAATATTCTCTGCTTACAGCACAACTAGAAATGTGCTCTCTCTTGTCCAATGGCTTGTTTCATAATTACCAGAGGCACAATATCATCTTGTGTTTTTTTAACTGATTTATAATGAAGGGATAAATAGGAAATGAAAATGGAACAAAATACTTTATAAAAATATAATAGCTGCAGCTGCAATCTTGCATACAGTAATGAGACAGCATAAATAGAAGTTACACATGAGCAACTATGCACAGGAAACTCAGGACTGTGCATAGGATTACCGTACCTCAAAAAACACAACAAAACATCAGTGGGAGTGATGCCAAAGAAATAGTGGATGAGGACAGCATTCCAAAAAGACAATCATCTTGCAGCATGAAGCCCAGATAAAAGATTCCAGCAATGAGAGTTGGTGTTATTTGGAACAAACTGTACAAGCCAGCTTCCTTTCCCCAGAACAAGATGTGGGACACCATCAGTTTGCAGATAAAGACTGAAGTGGTGCGAAACAACGAACTTTTACTTATCCACCTCCATGGAGCAGAACAAGCCCTTCCACCTTTGGTTCAACTGTTGTGATACCACATTAATATGTTCCACAAACGTGGCCTGCTCTGGGTACAAAAACTGTAACTTGCACTTCCTGAAACTGCTATAAGAGATGACATTTCCTGAACTCATTCTCATGGCACCTCCTTCAGTCCAATACTAGAACCCCACTGCCATGGCTATTGTGCCTGCATGGCTGGTACCAGTCTTCTTTCTAGAAGCCCTACGGAGTCCTTCCATTATCCCAACATGAGAGCGGGAGGGGAAAGGAAGAGAAGGGGATCAATGAAGGTAGATTGGTTAGGAGATTTCTCCATACGTGTATGGTTCAAGCACTGTAAAATATTTCCCTCCCTCCCTCCCTTCTTTTCTTCCTGAAGACGAACAAAGCAAAAATGTATAGACAAAGAGGGCAGGGCTAGAGTGGTGCTTAAGAACATAAGAACATAAGAGATGCCAATGTTGGATCAGGCCAAAGGCCCATCCAGTCCAACACTCTGTATCACACAGTGGCCAGAAATACCAGTGCCATCAGGAGGTCCACCAGTGGGGCCAGGACACTAGAAGCCCTCCCACTGTTGACCCCCCCAAGCACCAAGATGACTGAGCATCACTTGCCCGAGGGTACCTATCTATACCTTGTGGCTAATAGCCACTGATGGACCTCTGCTCCATATGCTTATCTAATTCCCTTTTGAAGCCGTCCATGCTTGTAGCTGCCACCACTTCCTGTGGCAGTGAATTCCAAGTTATATATTATTATAAGATTGTGCAACCTATTCCCATTTTTCACAGAGGCCAGTAACACAACAGATAATCCCCTGGTGCTCCGCAATATGGAAAACGGGGCAGCTGTTTGTCAGTTTCAGAAAAAGTCTGGTCAGTTTCAGCAGTGGGTTTCCCCCCTTTGCCTTCCATCCTTTTTGTTCCCTTCCATTCAATGCACTAATTAAAAAATGCACATAACCTGGCCCACAAGGGTTTAAATGGAAGGTGCTTGCTGGACACTTCTGTACAGCTGGGATAGGGCAATTGCATAAATTATAAAAACCTTTGGGCACCACCCCCCACACGTCACAAGTGGCATTCCACCCTAATATAGAAAAGTGTGTTGCAGAATAAATACAACGGAGGAAAAAGAATGGTGTGTAAAGTGGGCGCAAAATCCGAAGTCAAGATTAAAACCTTACCACTCTGAAAATCTGCAGTAAGATGTGTGTGCCATTGTCTGACCATGAGATGTTGACCGTTAATGCTTACAGAGCCAACTTATCTATTTTGCACAGTAGGCACACTTCCGTGGACCCACAATACTTTTAGGGCCCACGGAAATGTGGGTTTTTTAAAATCAGATGGGGGGAAATAAGCTTTTAGGGTCAAAGAGAATGTTTTAATTTTTTTCTCACCTCAGAGAAAAAAATGAAATTTTAAGGCTGATGAAAATTGTTTACGTTTTGCCTAAAACAAAACAAAATGTTGAAGTATTTAAAGTTATATCAAAAATAATTTTTAATATAGATATTACGATGGCAGGAGGGGCCCATGAAGGCAAAATTGCCCAGGGCCCACAAAAGTCCTCACGAGTCCCTGAATGCTTGGGGTGTGGGAAGAGAATACCACTCCATGCTGTCTCCGTGCCCAGAAATTTTTTGCAGAAATGGGAACTGACCAATGTTCCCTCTAAGCTGTGGAGTCTTGTGAGCAAAAATTCTACTTTGTGAGCTACTGGCATTAAAGTTGTGAGCGAGCGATTTGGCAGCTGCATAAATCAGTTTGCTTTGGAGCCATCCCTTCCTGAGCTAAGACAAAAATGTGTGAACCGGAGGCTAAAAATCTGTGAGCTGGCTCACACTAACTCAGCTTAGAGGGAACTATGGAACTGACCTCAGTGACCTCCCTGTCAACATTTGCCCATGTTTTGCAAATGGCAAGTCTTTTTAGGGCCATATGTAAGAGTTTCATCCTGGAAAACACCGCAGTGTTGCAAGGAATCTTATGGCATTTGTGCTCATCTCATGCCATCTTGCACAGCTACTTGGGGAGCTGGGGCGGGGGGGAGGCAGATCCAATCGTCAGACAGGCTGCTCTGCCTGGAGCTTCAGTATGTGCCCCACAGAATTTCAAAACAGCTTTGCTCTGTACAGCAGGCTCGCCTGCAGGTTTTCAAAATCCCTTCGGCTGTAAAAGCTGTTTGCCATATGTATATACTTTTTGAGAAGTGCTAGCCCAAAGCTCTGTTGAGTGTAGCTGAGTTATACTGCCTTTCTCAGCAGGCTTGCACCCTTCTAAGTCCATTTGAACTGCATCTCTGCTTAGGATGGCGCTGTTACTTTTGCTCTCGCTCCTTGAATCCCTGCCAGCATCGGGGCTTCTGCTGACCCACGTTTATCAGAGGGGTTTGACATAAAAATTCCAGTAAGGCCCGATTGTCTTTCCTTGACTTCATTCCAAATTATTCAGCATGTTTATAATGATAACCATCTTAACCAACTGTGTCTTCATGGCCATGAGTGACCCGCCGTCGTGGGCCAAGAACGTGGAGTAAGTATTTGCGTTTCTTCCGTCTCCCGCTTCTTGTCCTCCGCAGATTACATAAGAACATGAGAGACGCCAGTGTTGGATCAGGCCAAAGGCCCATCCAGTCCAACACTCTGTATCACACAGTGGCCAAAAATACCAGGTGCCATCAGGAGGTCCACCAGTGGGGCCAGGACATTAGAAGCCCTCCCACTGTTGACCCCCCCCCAAGCACCAAGAAGACAGAGCATCCCTTGCCCCAGACATAAGAACATAAGAGAGAAGCCAATGTTGGATCAGGCCAGTGCCGGATTTACGCATAAGCTAAATAAGCTACAGCTTAGGGCCTCGCAATCTGCTGGGGCCTCAAATAAAAACACAATATAAAAAATGATTTCAAATATTAAAAAGGTGTATATATTTTAAATTTTTCTGAGACCAGCTGATGTAATTTAAAACAGTAGGGGGCCTCTGGGTTTTGTATAGCTTAGGGCCTCAGCAAGTCTAAATCCGGCCCTGGACATGCATAATCTTATAAGCCTCAATCATGTCACCCCCTCAGTCGTCGTTTCTCCAAGCTAAAGAGCCCTAAGCGCCTTAACCTTTCCTCATAGTGTTCCCTATGAGATTCTTTGCCTGGTTTTTTTAGCTTCAGCTGGGGGGATGAAGGGAATCTTGATGGAGCAGGAATAGGTAAAAAAAGGGATGATTCACCAACAGCTTGAATTTGGGCTCAGCTGTCGGGCCTGTGCCTTGCCCTGTTCTTTGGCTGGGGAGTCCAGCTTTTTGGAGAGAGCACTGCATGGCCCAGCTTGTAACACGTGACCAGGCCAGCAGAAGAACCAAGCCCTTGCAAAGCTATTCAAGAAACATGGAGAAATAACGTTTTTCATCTGGGGCATAAGTTTAGCAAGCAAGCCATGTAACGGGGGGAGAATTATGTAAAATGTTGATCGGTTACACTAACCTTTGTTTATTAAAGGTAGGCGTGATATCTTGGGATCTCTCGTCAACTGTTGTTTTCAAATGATGCAGGCTGGCGGGAAGCTGTGGCTAGATGTCTTGCACATCGGGCTGCCAAGTGGGAGCAGGTGGTGGGTAAAGCCCCGCTTTGGAGGCTCGATTTCCGCCGCTTTTAAATTCATTGTTTCATTGATTTGCTCTGTGTCCGTTTTATTCATAATCCCACCAACCAATGCTTGAAGGAATGGAAAATGAAATAAGTAAAATAAATATTGATTTTCTGTAAAGTGGAAACGTAATTTCTTTTACACGTTGTGATGATCTTAGACCTCCCTCAACCTCTGACTCTTTCTCTTTTTTTTCCCTGTTTACAGATTTACTTTTACAGGCATCTACACCTTTGAGTCCATGATCAAGATACTTGCTCGAGGATTCTGCATAGACAACTTTACATTCCTGCGAGATCCATGGAACTGGCTGGATTTCAGCGTCATTGTTATGGCGTACGTTGGGTCCCGGGTTCAGACATAGGGAGGCGGGAATGGCTGCATATTCCCCCGGCCGAGGGGCCCTGGCTGCCAGCTCCCTCACCATGATTTGGCTTATGTAATGCCAGAAATAAGACAGGAAGCCTTCCTTCTTGACTCAGACCACTTTAGAGGGGACAGGGGTGTGCCTGAGAGGGCACATGTCGTACTTCCGCACCAAGGCCAGAGAGACACTGCTTGGGCCTTCCTGGTCAGGCTGCCAGCCAGTGTTCCCTCTGAGCTGCTGGCATTAAAGTTGTGAGCGAGCGATTTGGCTGCTGCATAAATCAGTTTGCTCTGGAGCTTAGAGGGAACATTGGCAGCCCTCTGCACTTCTTTTGCTGCTAAGGTTGGACATGGACACATCTGTTCTACACAGCTGGAGCAAATCCAGGCTTTAACACCAGATTGCTTTTGCCCACAGCCTGTCCCAGCTTCAGAGCTGTCCTTCCATATTTGCGAAAAGCCGAGAGACCTTGATAGCTCTGGTTCCCCCCTCTGTACCTTGCCTCTTAATTAATGGCTCTCTCACCCTCTCTTTCCTAGTTATGTCACGGAGTTTGTGGATTTGGGCAATGTCTCTGCTCTGCGGACGTTCCGTGTTCTCCGGGCACTTAAAACCATCACGGTTATTCCAGGTGAGTGAAGCTGGGTGGGCAGGTGGAGTCTGTTGTGTACTGAGCCTGAGCAGTACCTGGAAACGGGCTAAGCTTGTTCCACCAGAACAATAGATAGCCAGGATCCTGGAATGGACCTATAGAGTAGTAGTTGTAACGTAAATAGCCTATCATTGGTGGTGGGGTGTGCTGGGGTGTGGTCTTTGCAGGCTTTATAAGCAGGGCTGCAAGGCCAGTTTCTTAGTCTTAGAGTTGAGCTGAAACCACTAATAAACTATGAGCTGATCACTATACGAGTCTCGAACCCAGTATATTTCAGAGTCTTTGACTTATTTGTGCAAATCAGGTTTCTCATCTAGGGGTGTGTCTGTTATGGTTGAACCTCATCTGTACCCTTTTATTGTAGAGGCCTTGAAGCTACATAAGAACATAAGAGACGCCAATGTTGGATAAGGCCAAAGGCCCATTCAGTCCAACACTCTGTGTCACACAGTGGCCAGAAATACCAGTGCCATCTGGAGGTCCAGAAGTGGGGCCAGGACACTAGAAGCCCTCCCACTGTTGGCCCCCCCAAGCACCAAGAATACAGAGCCCCAGACATAAGAACATAAGAGACGCCAATGTTGGATCAGGCCAATGGCCCATCCAGTCCAACACTCTGTGTCACACAGTGGCCAGAAATACCAGGGGCCATCAGGAGGTCCAGCAGTGGGGCCGGGACACTAGAAGCCCTCCCACTGTTGCCCACCCCCCCAGCACCAAGAATATCGAGTATCCCTTGCCCCAGACCGAGAGTTCCTATAAGAACATAAGAACCTAAGAGAAGCCAATGTTCAGTGGCCCATCCAGTCCAACACTCTGTCACACAGTGGCCAAAAATACTAGGTGCCCTCAGGAGGCCCAGCAGTGGGGCCAGGACACTAGGAGCCCTCCCACTGTTGACCCCCCCCCCCCAAGCACCAAGAGCATCCCTTGCCCCAGAGCCCCTATCTATACCTTGTGGCTAATAGCCACTGATGGACCTCTGCTCCACATGCTTATCCAATTCCCTTTTGAAGCCGTCCATGCTTGTAGCCGCCACCACTTCCTGTGGCAGTGAATCCCACGTGTTAATCACTGTTTGGGTAAAGAAGTACTTCCTTTTATACGTTCTAACCCGACTGCTCAGCAATTTCATGGAGTGCCCACGAGTTCTTGTATTGTGAGAAAGGGAGAAAAGTACCTCTTTCTCCACCTGCTCTTTCCCATGCATAATCTTATAAACCTCGATCATGTCACCCCTCAGTCGTCTTTTCCATTTCCCCCCCCAAACCAAGATTTCCTTTTCCTTTTTTTCCAGTTCCCCCCCCCCCCCCCCAACATAGCCCTTGGAACATTTTTTGTCATCAAGTCACAGCTGACTTACGGCAACCCTGGGGGGTTTTCACGACAGGAGACGTCCTGAGGTGCATTGCCACTGTCTGCCTCACGACCCTGATATTCCTTGGAGGTCTCCCATCCAAATACTGACCAGGGCCAACCCTGCTTAGCTTCCAAGCTCTGATGAGGTTAGGCTAACCTGGGCTATCCAGGGCAGTGAGTTAAGTTCTAAGCACTTGACTAACCCAGATATTCCTCCTGGAAGGAAAGGAGAATCCTAATGGTGAAGCAGAAGTAAAAATGTAAAAACTACACAAATTGAAAACATTTCAAAGTCCAAGATTTAGAAATTAATGTTAAAAAACTGAACATCCCAGTCTGTAAAGGTAAAGGTAAAGGTTCCCTTGCTCGAAAGCCAGTCGAATCCGACTCTAGGGTTGCGGTGCTCATCTCTGTTTCCAAGCCGAAGAGCCAGCGCTGTCCGAAGACATCTCCGTGGTCATGTGGCCGGCATGACTAAACACCGAGGCGCACGGAACGCTGTTCCCTACCCACCGAAGTGGTACCTATTTATCTACTTGCAATTTCTTGCTTTCGAGCTGCTAGGTTGGCAGGAGCTGGGACCAGAGACAGGAGCTCACTCCGTCATGCGGCACACTCGGGTCTCGAACCACTGAACTCCTGACCTTCCACAGTCTGCAGTCTGTAGGGCACTCTTAAAAACAACTCTTGCGACTGGTATTGGGTATCAGGCGCCCTTGAGAGGCACAGAGGGGAGAGGAAGTTATTTCAGAGCATCTGTCAGTATTCACATCAGGGAGAAGCGAGCTTTAAAAGACCCGCGTGTTTTCGATGGTTGCAGTGTCATTATTTTTAAAGTATGCTGTATGTCACCTTGAGAAGTGGGAAAGAAACATTAAATTAATGCAGAGAAGTGAATGGGCTCCCAAAACGGTTAATGTGACAGTTGTGACCATTCAACAACTGTCAGAAGCCTTCTCTTGTTGCCGGTAATGAACGTCAGTGCCTGTTCTCCCCCCCCCCCCATTAGGGCTGAAAACCATTGTGGGCGCCTTGATCCAGTCGGTGAAGAAGCTTTCGGATGTAATGATCCTCACCGTATTCTGCTTGGCCGTCTTTGCCCTCGTCGGCCTGCAGCTCTTCATGGGGAACCTTCGGCAAAAGTGCGTCCGGTGGCCACCCTTCACCAACGACACTTTTCAAGAAGATGCCTTTGGACTTGATAGCGACCCCTTTGGCAACGGGACCCTTGGCACGCTGGCAAACGCAACTCTGCTCAGTAACGTGACGGCCAACAGCACTTTTGACTGGAACGAGTACATCAATGATGAAGGTAATGCTGGTGTTCGGAAGATGAGTTTTGACTTTTGTCCGGGCTTAGAGAACATAAGAACATAAGAGACGGCAATGTTGGATCAGGCCAAAGGCCCATCCAGGCCAACACTCTGTGTCACACAGTTGCCAGAAATACCAGGTGCCATCAGGAGGTCCACCAGTGAGGCCAGGACATTAGAAGCCCTCCCACTGTTGACACACACCCCCAAGCACCAAGAAGACAGAGCATCCCTTGCCCCAGAGCCCCTATCTATACCTTGTGGCTAATAGCCACGGATGGACCTCTGCTCCATATGCTTATCTAATTCCCTTTTGAAGCCGTCCATGCTTGTAGCACCCACCACTTCCTGTGGCAGTGAGTTCCATGTGTTCATCCTTCTTTGGGTGAAGAAGTACTTCCTTTTATCCGTTCTAACCTGACCGCTCAGCAATTTCATGGAGTGCCCACGAGCAATGTTCCCTCTAAACTGTGGAGTCCTGTGAGCAAAAATCCCCTACCTGCTCTTTCCCATGCATAATCTTTTAAACCTCTATCATGTCTCCCGTCAGTCGTCGTTTCTCCAAGCTAAAGAGCCCCAAGCGCTTTAACCTTTCTTCATAGGGAAAGTGTTCCAACCCTTTTATCACTCGAGTTGCCCTTTTCTGCACATTTTCCAAAGCTATAATATCCTTTTTAAGGTGTGGTGACCAGAATTGCACACAGTCAGACTTCCTCAGGTGCACATGAAGTGAGCTTATGACTGGATTGCCTTGACAGTTTTCGCCAAAATTCATGTTGAGCCCCATGCTTAGCAGCCTTGAGCCTATGCAATAGCTGCTTGTATTAGTGCTTTGGTGATAAATAACAAACAGTGATGGAGCAGAAGAACTTATCCCTCCAGGGTCATGACCAGGTTCGTAAAGTGACCTACTTGATAAATGACAGATTGGTCACGGTTCATTTTTGCACACATGTTAGGAGAAGAAGAAGACATTGGATTTATACCCTGCCCTTCACTACCCAAAGGAGTCTCAGAGCGGCTTACAAACTCCTTTCCCTTCCCCTCCCCACCACAGACGCCCTGTGAGGTAGGTGGGGCTGAGAGAGCTCTGACAGAAACTGCTCTTGAGAGAACAGCTCTTATCAGAACTACGGCTTGCCCAAGGTCATCCAGCCAGGTGCAAGTGGAGGAGTGGGGGAACCAAACCCGGTTCTCCCAGATTAGAGTCCGCGCACTTAACCACTACACCAAACTGGCTATCAGGAAGTAAATAACTCTCAAAATAATTCCTCAGCGTTTCAGGAGTTCTGTTTCTCTTTAATCTGCACGGCTGAGCAGAACTCCAGGGCACAATCAAAAGCCCTGCTGGCCAAAAGCTCCGCCTGATCCTGCCCATCTTCTAAAACCCCTAGTGGGCACCAATGTTCCCTCTAAGCTGAGTCAGTGTGAGCTAGCTCACACTGACTCAGCTTAGAGGGAACACTGGTGGGCACCAGGAAAAGTGGGGGTGGGCACCATGATGCTCACGGGCACCAGGTTGTGGGCCCCTGAGTTGGGCTTTGCTTAGGAATTCAGTACAGAACTTCCCCTTTTAAGCCAGATGTACTAACTGCTCTACCACACTGCTTCTTGTCAGCTGCTGTCAGGAGTCAGCTAGCCATTGTTCCAAAGTCTAAACTTGCATTTCCTCCCCCCCCCTTCTTATGAAGCCAATTTCTACTTCCTGGACGGTGCCCTGGACGCCCTGCTCTGCGGGAACAGTTCTGATGCTGGGTGAGTGAGGTCTGTCTTCCCCTTGGGATGAGGAGGGGCCGAGGTGGGGGCCCAGTTGGGGAGGGAACGTCGTCCGTACTCGGCTGTCCCACCATTCATTTGGATCCACTTGATAATGTAAAGAAGGGCAGAGCCACTGTGCGGGGTGGATCGTTTCCTCGAGTCCCGTCGGACCCCAGGCCGAGGCAGATGTTATGTCAAGGATCCATAATCAGATCTTATTTATTTATTTATTTATTTATTGAGATTTTTACCCCGCCCTCCCCGTGGAGCTGGCTCAGGGCGGCTTACAAGGGGCAAAGTCCATATAAAACAGATAAAAACAATAAAAACATTAATAACAGTTGTACTCAATTTAAAAACAAGATTGTCTCCGGATACGTGCCAGATGGTAAACAGACAGTTCTCCAGGGATGATGTTAACCTATAGCCTATCCTAACCAGGTAAATCCAGTGGTATCAGTCACGCAGAAATTGTGGTGGATCTTCCCCGGGCCATCCTTAACCCCGATGTTGTCCACCACATTGGTGGCGGTGGAGTGGCGGCCCCTATGTGAAAGCCTGGCGGAAGAGCTCCGTCTTACAGGCCCTGCGGAACTGCGTAAGGGCCTTCTTCTGCAAAAACAGCCTGCTTTTGGAAATTGCCTGCTGTTAGCTCTGGGGGGGAATGCAGTTTAAGGCCTGTCCTTTTCCTTACTAGGACTAAAAGCAGTGGGGTGGGGGTGGCATTTTGGGTTGGGTGTGGTTTCCTCACCAGTCATAAACTGCACCCATAACCCTGGGATTCTGATTCTGGGTGTTATGTACGCGGACCGCCACGAGGGGTCCACGGCACAGGCAGGAGCTTCGCTCCCCTGAACAATAGGAACAGTTCCCCCTGCACCAACCAATAGCCACTTTGGTGGGAAATTCAAACCCTCCAATGGGACTGTGGGTGTGCTGGGTGGGTGTGTATATAGTTGGCCTTGCAGGGCCGTTTTGCAGTTAGATGTTAAGGACAATAAACGTGTGCAAACGCATGTCGTCGTCCGAGTCCTTCATGTGGCGAACCCAGTACTTTTCACGGGGCGTACTCTCTTTGAGATAATTTAAGGCCAGGGACTTCCCGGGTATATGGAGGGCATCTGCTGACATTTCTTCTTGCTTCCTGTGACTCCTGGCAGGCACTGCCCAGAAGGCTACCTCTGCATGAAGGCTGGTCGAAACCCAAACTACGGCTACACGAGCTATGATACCTTCAGCTGGGCCTTTTTGTCACTCTTCCGCCTCATGACTCAGGACTTCTGGGAGAACCTCTTCCAACTGGTAGGGCAATAGGGCTGCCCGTTCGGAGTTGGGAAATACCTGGAGATTTGGGGGATGGAACCTGAGGAGGGTGGGGTTTGGGGAGGGGAGGGACTTCGGTGGAGTAGAAATGCTATAGAGCAGACGTGTCAAACATAAGGCCCAGGGGCCGGAACCAGCCCATCCAGGGCTCTTATGCGGCCCGCAAGCAAGTACAGCAAGGGAGGGAACCGGAGACTGCTTGGGGGAGGGAAGTGGGCGGAGCCATCCTGATTGTGGCTTCAGCATGGCGGAACCTCTTCTGCAGCAGTCAAGCAGCGTGGGAGCGTTGTCCAGTGCTGCACCGCCAGGTCTCCAGTCCACCCATGTGGGTTTTCCTTTGCACTCCCCGCCCAGCCCATGAGGCCTTGCAGTGAGAATACACCAACTCGGAGCTCACCAGCTGCTGTCCTTTAGACAGTTTATATCTCTGGTACCTAGCATTGCATTTTATGGCACACATGGCATGGCCCAGCTCGACAGAAGTCACATTTATGTCAGATCCGGCCGTCATAGCAAATGAGTTCGACACCTCTGCTATAGAGTCCACCTTCCAAAGTGGCTACTTTCTCCAGGTGAACTGATCTCTGTTGCTCACAGTTTTTTAGCCTCCAGCTTACAGATTTTTGTCTCAGCTCAGGAAGGATGGCTCCAGAGCAAATTAATTTGTGCAGCAGCCAAACTGCTCACTCACCACTTTAATGCCAGCAGCTCACAAAGTAGAATCTTTGCTCACAAGGCTCCACCGTTCAGAGGTAGCATTGGTTGCAGTCCCAGAAAATCCAGCCACCACCTGGAAGTTGGCAACCCTGTAAAAGTGGGTTCCAAAGCCTGTGACAGAGGGTCCCAGGCATTTGCAGCTGTATTCATTTGTCGTCATGCCAAGAAAATTTGGACTTGTGCAATGCGCCCTCTACGCTGTGGAGTCCGGTGAGCAAGAATTCTACTTTGTGAGCTGCCGGCATTAAAGTTGTGAGCGAGCAATTGGGCTCCTGCATCAATCAGTTTGCTCCGGAGCCCTCCTTCCTGAGCTGAGACCAGAATGTGTGAGCCGGAGGCTAAAAAAACTGTGAGCTGGCTCACACTCACTCGGCTTAGAGGGAACACTGCTTGTGGGCCATCCTACCGAAAAGGCTGGGAAAGCGCTGATCTCTGACACAGAGAGAACTTGGGTGGGAGCAGGCCCGTAACTAACGCGGGGCCCACGGGGCCTGCCCCCTACCAGTTTTTATGGGCCCCCTTCCTGAGTCTCGGCTCCCCTACCCCAACCCCCCTGATTGCCTGTCAGCCTGTTGGCAGGGAGGACAAGGGCAGTGATTTCAGAGGCTGTCCCTGGTGCTGTGCCACGAGAAGAGGTACTGGGGCTCCTTGGGAGGGGGGGAGCTGGACCCGGAGGCTGTGGCTGATGCAGCCCTTGCCCTGGACCCTTTGATTGGATTAGCAGGCGGGCCCCCACAGGCTCCCTCCCTAAAAAGTCCTTAGCTACGGGGCTGGGTGGGAGGCTGGCCTTTGTCTCATTTCAATGGGACGAGGAGAAGGTATCTTTTTTTTCTGCCCGGAAGAAACTATTTCTGTTCCTTGCTTTTCCCAGACTGCAGTAGAAATGAGAGCTCCAGGGAGAGGATCCATGCATTGAGGGGTATCCTGCTCTCCAGAGGACTGGGGTTTCAGCTGTGGTCACACGGGCCTCTGGTTCTGAGTCTCAGGAGGGCTGCATTTGACCTCCTAGAAAGGTTTGGTCTCAGAATAGGGTTGCCAGTCCACAGGTCCCGGCGGGGGTTCCCCTGGTTTGGGGGCCTCTGCCCACCCCCAAACAGTGACATCACAGTACGACGTCCCCGATGCGGTGACATCACCCATAAGTGACATCATCACGACAATGCTCTGGTTTGAGGACAAAACTCTATGGTGTCAGGACCCACAGCAAAACAACGAAGTACATGCTTCCAGGAAGGTTTTACTTTTATTGAAAAGCCATAGATGCAATAACATGAACACTGTTAGGAATGGCGGGCTACCTGTGCGCATAATAGGATATAGGGCATTCGTATGCGCCCCCCCCACCAGCAATACCCAATTAGGTGGACTCCCGCGCGCGGGAGATTGCAAGACTCTCTAACGGTTGCGAAGCTGGGAACGGAGAAGCTCCCACGGAAGATAGACACCACAATCTCCTCCAGTAACACTTTACAGATAAGCGTTGCAGCTTTGAAGCAATGAAGCGCATGGGAAGGAAGGCAAAGCATTTAGAAAGCCTCTCCACACTCATGGCAGCTTAGCTGACATATGGGTTTGAAGCCGGTTTTACCACAGAGTTTTGCCCTCAAGTCGGATCGTTGCCACACAACATCCCTGGCACGATGGCATCACTTCTAGGTGACGTCATCGTGTCAGGGATGTCCCGGAACGCCCTCCAAATCCCCCTGCCAGCGGGACAAGGGGACCTGGCAACCCTATCTCAGAACCAGGTTTGCAAATGTCACCAGATATTTGCAGTAGTAGCACACGACAGTGCCCTTGAGCATACACAGAGTGCTTCTGAGTAACCCAGGAGAGTACTTGCAACTGGACATCAAGGCTGGCTTGCAGGTCCGTATGGTGACTGGTGACTCTTCTCCCCCCCACAGACCCTACGAGCTGCTGGGAAGACGTACATGCTTTTCTTCATTGTGATCATTTTCCTGGGATCGTTCTACCTCATCAACTTGATCCTGGCTGTGGTGGCAATGGCCTATGCCGAGCAGAATGAAGCCACGATTCTGGAGGAGCAGGAGAAGGAAGCAGAGTTCCAGCAGATGTTGGAGCAGCTGAAGAAGCACCAGGAGGAGCAGCAGAGGCTGGTGAGTCCCTGTCTGTCTGTCTGTACAGCAAATTCCAAACGCAATACAGGGCTTCATGAGAAGATAACTGTTTATTGGTGAATCCAGTACTAGAGACACGTGTACAGCTTGTGTCAGGAATGGGCACCATTGTTTTAAATGTTGGATGTTTTACTATGTATTATATGTTTTAAAGTTATTATGTATAACATGTTTTAATTATGGCATGGTTATTACCTTGCCCTTGTTAGCCGCCCCGAGCCCATTGGGGAGGGTGGGATACAAATGCGAAAAATAAATAAATAAATAAATAAATAAATACGAGGGCCTCTGGCTTATACTAGAATCAAACATCCCCCCCCATGTAAGCATAAGCCAGTGGATACATCTTGCACGCGCGGGAAAAGCAAAAAGCCGTTAACTTTCCCAGCCGAGTAAAACTGCAGCTGGAGCATCTACAAGGTCAAGCATAAGATAGCAAACAGTGGGTGAGCCAGGGAGAGCTGAGACAGAAAGTGGGAGGGCACCCCTCCACATTCCAGACCTATGACAGGGCTACCTGACAGCCCAGCCGGAAGGTGAATGTTGCCTTGCATGGCCCCAGGGCAGCTGTTTTGCAGGGCTGGCTTCTTTGGGGCCATGAAAAAGTGTGCCAGAGGGACACGGGGCCTTCCTTACAGCCTGTTTACGGGTTGGGCCGGTGGCAGTGAACCAGCACACAGGCCAAGTAGTGCTGGTATCAATACGACAACATGAGCCCACGGAGGGTAGCACTGTCCGAAGACGTTTCCGTGGTCATGTGGCTGGAGATTCCTTGTCCTACAGAACTCCCACCAAGGTAACTGGAGTCTAGTACTGCATTGTTAAGAGTGGTGAGAGGCTAGATTCCCATCACCCTCTTTCAGCTGGAGGTATTCCAAGGCTTGCACTTTAGTTTTGGCCCAGGGTCTCATTCCCGGTCTTCATCAGGCTGGCTTTTTATGCTCCCACTCAAGCTGGGGACTTGGTTTTGAGCATGGCCATAATCTCAGAAGTGCCCGAGGACTTTCTCGTGCAGACTGGCTTAGGCAGGTGTGGTATAATTCCCAGTGCCAGCAGAGTACTTTATATCTGAATGCTTTCTGTTTATTTGGCTTGGTGGGATTGCTTTGCCATTTTGTATTGATTCGTCCCCCCTCCTGCTTTCAGGATGGGCTGAAATTAAAAAGAAAACTTTTGAGGGTGTAGGTTTCATTTCTACAGTTGTGGTCGTAAGGCCATTAGCAGGCAACGAGATCGAGAGCCAGCTCTCCTCCTTGGAATCTGGAGCACGAAGCTCTGAGCCAGCACTTTGCAGCTTCATTCCTGGGGAGTGACGCAGCTTCCCAGCCTCCCAGCTTTGTTTACCGACAGCAGAAATATACCTCGGAGTCGGCGAGTCTTGCCTTTTGCTTCCTGAAGCCCCACTGAGCCGCTTAAATCGAACAGATATATAAAGGGCCCGTCCTCCCGCCGGCACTGACCTAGATGACCACACCAAGGCCCACTGTCTCTCCAGGCGAGCATGTTTAGGGGAGCTGAAAGTGGTGTCAACTGTTGCCAAACAAGTTCTCTAGGTTTTTGAAATAATATGGAGTCCCGCAAAGCCCGCTTCACCAGGGGCGTATCCCTCTTTCAGACCACCCCATCCTTCTGAAAGATGATGGTCTCTTCCCCCCACCCCACGTACCCTTGTGCATGTAGACGAGGGGTCGTCAGCAATGTTCCCTCTAAGCTGTAGAGTCCTGTGAGCAAAAATTCTACTTTGTGAGCTCCTGGCATTAAAGTTGTGAGCGAGCGACTGGGCTGCTGCACAAATCAGTTCGCTCTGGAGCCCCATCTCTCCTGAGCGGAGATGAAAATGTGTGAGCCGGAGGCTAAAGAACCGTGAGCTGGCTCACACTGACTCAGCTTAGAGGGAACACCGCCTTGCCCAGCTGGGTCCCTGATGGGCTCGAGGGCATTCTTCTAGAGAGATCTCACCACACCAAGGTTGAGGGGGGAAAGCCCAGAAAAGAGACAGAGGACAGCTTTGCGTGGATGCTGCATACAAAAGAACACGACAGATTGGGGGGGGGTCTTCCCTGTGGACGTCTCCTGTATCACATGACGGCCATGCAGGAAGTGTGCAGACTCATCCCAGCCCTCCTACGTGTGTGATTTTTGGCATTACATATTCAGAGAATTCCCTTCTGCCTTGCCATGATTTGACGGAAACTGAAAAGTACGCAAACGGAGAGTGATTTCAGCAAAGCGTACTTAATTCTATCCGGAACAAGACAACTTTGGCCGGCTCTCAGGCCAGCTTATATCCCCTGAGAAACCGCCACCCAAAACACACCCCTACTTCCCTATAGGTTATTTACAGTGGCCGAGAGTCCCATAGGCTCTCGGCCGGGAACCTAGCCCCCTGATTGGAGCGGGCTAGGATCCGCATAGTCCATTGTCTCTTGGAGCGAAGCTCTGCGTTTGTCTCTGGACTTGTCTGGACTTGCCTGGACTGGATACATTACAGAAACCCTGAAGAACTCAGTGCTGAAACAGTCTTACAAAGAAGCTTTCATCATGGCCTATTTCCCAAGGTGGATTCAGAGTGACCGCTACCTGGCAACCAGATTTACGCCTCTTTCCCCTTCTGGATCCCAACCTGTTATGTCAACCCTTCTTCCGGCCTTGGGTGTCCTCTTCTGTTCTTAAAAAAACCCAGCCCCTACGGGAAAGGCATCTCCGGCATGCTGAAGTTCCGTAACAGCTTCTTGTCTGGCCGGCTGCTTCCGCCTTCCTGACCCGGAGCCACCCTTCACAATCTGATTTTTGGGTTGGGCAAACAGCGTCCTCGTTTATGAAGGCTTGTGCAGAATGGTGTCTGTATGGGGGGGGGCGGGCGCTTCTAATCTTTCGGGATCTGGATGTAGATTTTCTGTTTCATGACAGCAGATATTATCTTTGTGCTGAGGGTGTTAGATTGCCGCTAACAAAGATCCAGAGAGTGATTTCAGCAAAAGTGAACAGCTTTATTGAAGGTTCGAACAAGCGCTTGAAGCGGTGGCGCAGGCGGTAAAACGCCTGCCTTAACATCAACTCTGAACAGCCACTATGGCTGTTCGAGAATCACCGCGGTCGGGGTGAGCTCCCGACCCTTGTCCCAGCTCCCGCCCACCCAGTGGCTCAAAAACAATTAAATAAATGCAAGTAGACAAATGGGTACCTACCCTTAGAGGGGTAGGGGGCACCCTCCTCCGACGAGGTGTGTGGTGGAGGCATTGGCGACGGCGACAGGACATCGGCTGCAGTGGAGCTCCGACGGTGGAGGCAGAGTGGCGGCACAGCGGCAGCAGCGGCACAGTCGGAGGAGCGATCGGAGGAGCGATCCCTGGTGGCCTGCAGCAAGAACACCATGCGGCTGACGTCGGCAAGAGGTGAAGTCCTGGCATCACCGGAAGTGTGTCATAAGGCCACACACCCCGCATCCCAACGGTCCCAGCGGCCGCCGCTGGCCTTGCAGCTCCACTACCGAGCCCCATGAGGCCGGCGGGAGTGCAAGGAAGCCCCGCGAAGACCCTCCCTGGCCCCAGGCAGGCAGGGGTGGGGAGAGACAGGGAGGAAGCAACTTACCCTCCCTCTTCTCCTGCCTCCTCCTGGCTGAATGAGGGCTGGAAGTGGGGCGGCTTCGTCATGTGCCCCGCCCCCCATACCTCACCCGGGGGAACTGCGATCCCCCGCGATCCCCCCGAAATGACCTCTGCCGGAAGCAGACATGGATCGTGTGCTGAATGGTCCCACCGAGGGAAGCCACTGTGGTCCACCTTGAGCGCCAGGATGAACATCCCGACCAAAAGAAGGAAGCCGAGCCAAAGAAACAACAGCCCACCACCTGGGTGCCTGTACAAATGTGGCCTTAGTTAGGGAGGAAACGTTCTTAGAACCCCCTATGTAAACCGCCCAGAGACCCCTAGGAGTCAGGGCGGTATAAGAAATCGAATATATAAATAAATAAATAAATAATAAGTCATAACCAGAACAGTTTAACATTGGGAGCTAGGCTCCTTTTAAACATTCCCAGGCTAACGTAGCCACGCCTCTGTACAATAAACAACCAATGAGGTTGTGAGGATAATGTCCAATTAGAGTCTTTCCCTCGCAGGGAACCGGTGCTGTCCTGGATTGGTCGCTGTTGTGACGCGACCAATAGCATGTCGGTTCGGAGGAGCCTTACTCGGGCTCGAGCTTAACATGGGGAGTCAATACGGCGATTCATGCCAGCCTTTTCAATATACTACAGAGGGGAAAACCTGGCTTGAGGTTTGAGGCAGATTGCACTGGTGGCTAATATTTTATGGAACTGCTGTTGTGATGCTCATGACAAAGTCCTCATGTTTGTTGGTGGACAATATGAGGACTTTGAATCAGATGTTCAGTGAGAGTTTCGCGCCTCCCCGACCAGTGTTCCCTCTAAGCTGAGTTAGTGTGAGCTAGCTTACAATTTTTAGCCTCCGGCTCACACATTTTTCTGTCTTAGCTCAGGAAGGAGGGCTCCGGAGCAAAGTAATCTATGCAGTAGCCAAATCGCTCGCTCACACCTTTAATGCCGGTAGCTCACCAAGTAGGATTTTTGTTCACAAGACTCCACAGCTGAGAGGGAACATTACTTACAAAAGCCCTTTCTCCCTCATCACTTGGATGCCTGGGGAGAGGGGGATACAGCCTTCCTCCTGGGACTGTTTCCTTCGCCTCAAATGGCCCAGCAGACTCTGGCCTATTGACTCTGTTGCAAAACTGATTAACAGAGCTGGTAGTGGCTCCACAGGGTGGTTTAAGGAGGAGAAGAGGGGCTCTGGTTGTGAGAAAAGAGCTTGCGTGAGTCCAGGAGGCACCAAACGTTTGGAGTTCCAATGCCATTGCTCAACAAATACAAGGAATTCCTCATGTGTAGATCAGCCACTTATGCGTATGGATTTTGTCCCTGGGAAGAACACACTCTTAACATAATTCTTTGAAGTAAAACAGCTACAGGCGCCGGTCACACGGGCCGGATATCGCGGGGGGGAGGCATGGCTGTTTGCCCCAGGGCAAAGAAAATGCGGGGGGGAGCATGGCTGTTTTCTCTGGGGCAGACGTACCGTGGCGGTCCTGTGGAGATCCCGTGGAAGGGGGAGGTGCCGAGCACACCACAATCCTGCGCCGCGGCAAAGAAGCGGCGCGGCAAGCGGGTGTTTTGTTTTCCGGACACCAAAGTGTGCACATGCCCCGTTGGGTGCTTGTGCGCATCCCATGGACAGTTGGAAAAAAACCACCTTTATACGAGGGGGCATGGGCGAGCACCGGAACTACCACCGGAAACGCGATCAGATGCCCACCCTTGCCCCGCGGTTACCAGAAACTAGTACCTCCGAGGTACTAGTTTTTAACCGCACGTCTTTGGCGGGAAGCCTCGGGTTCACCACGGGAGCTCTACGCTTCCCAGATGTGGCGGTGAGATCGCGCCCGGAAAATCCGCCTATCTTCCATCTCTCTAGCGTGCCTAATGCTCCATGTGACCGCAGCCACAGTTATGCAGATCATGCGGGAAAAGACTTTGAACAAGGTTTTAACATTCCTCCTTGCTGGGTGGTTGGGGGTTGGGGGAGAGATCTTTCAGAATCCATGTGATTCTTCCTCATAGGTTCTTCAGTAGAACTGCTGTATATTTTAGCAGGCTCAGCTTGCTCCTGATTTTCTTGGCAGTCGATCCACAAGGACCGGAATTGGTCTGGTCCCGGTCCTTCCACGTGCCTGCCCTCCCTCTGCATTGTCAGAGCTGCGGAGTAGGTTTGTATTGTGTAGTGGGTTGCCGCATGGAGAAATGACAGACGACGACGTAGTGCATAGCACGCTTTATTGGTACACACAAGAAAAACCGGGGGAACAACGGCCCGGGGGCCAACTATATACATCCCTGGGGACACACCCCTGGTCACCATTGGTGAGTTTGAATCTCCCGCCATGGTTCCCATTGGCTCCCCAGTGGAGGGACTAGGAGGCTAGTCCCTATTGTTATCCCAGAGTCAAGCTCTGGCAATTCTGGCTGACCGCTGGCCCCCGGTGGCGATCTGCATACACAACAGTTTGCCAGCCCTCCGGTCCGGGTGGGGGCTCCTCTGCTTCTGGGGGCTTCAATCCGCCCCTGGCCAGCTGGCTGGTGGGGGAAGCCCCATCCCAAGCCCCGCCCCCAAGAGCAACACTCGCCCAACCACCCCTCCCCCTGTCTGATTTAAAGGGCTTCAGCTAATCGGCGGAGACCATGTGCCCCGCCGACCAGCTGGAGGGCCCTTTAAGTCTAGTGGGAGGGAGGGAGAGCGGTGGTTGTGGGCTGCATATTGGCCTTGCAAAAAGACCCTTTAAAGGGTCCTTTTGTGAGCGGGGGGTGCCCCACAGCCCTTGGGGCTGGAAATCAATATGTTGGACAAGTGGATACCATTTTTAGAATATGAAATGGAAAATTCTACCTCCCAAATAGTCCTACTAATTATCTATATTATGAAGTCATGATGTCTCAGTAACAACATCTACAGGTGTCAGTCTCCTTAAGTTTGTACATCTCTTGTTAAAGGTTATTCCCCCCAATATTGACCAATCTATGTTAATCTTGTGAAAATGTAGACATAGAAATTGTTACTTATTGTGTGCTTTCACTGCTGAATTGTATTTTATTGGCTTTTTAATGTGTAATGCTTATCGGTTTAGAACAATAAAATGTTAATTAAAAAATCAGAAAAGAAAAAAATCAGAAAAAAATCCTAAGCAAATACTTAATTTGTAATGCTTATCGGTTTAAAACAATAAAATGTTAAAAAAGAAGAAAAGAAAAAAATCAGAAAGAAATCCTAAGTAAATACTTAAGGCACAAAATAGACTTGGAAATCAGGGAATAAGCTGAAGCCACGGGGGGCCAGAACTGGCAAAAAAATCCCATGCAGAAATCCCACGTACTGCAGCCATTATAAACCACAATGGCCCGGTCACACGGGCCAGATAACGTGGCGGGGGGGGGAGGCGTGGCTGTTTGCCCTGGAGCAAAATAAAGCGCGGTAGCCCAATCATACTGTTCCCCGAGTCTTCGTACTTAGGCTGTTAGCTGGCGATCACACGGCGATACTGGAGCGTGACAAAGAAGCGGCACGGCAAGTGTTTTGCATATGTGTGCATACGCGGTTCCGCAGAGCAGCACTGCTTTCAGTTACGTGTTTGTGCACATGCGCTTACGAAAAACATCTGGTTTGCGACAGGATGTGGACGGGCACCAGATGCCACGGGATACTAGCGCTCCCGCGATCAGACGCCCGCCTGTCAGACTCCCATCACATCAACGAAGCACACACTTGTAGGAAAGGTTTTACTTTTATTTGAAGCAATGGGTGCATAACGGGATCACTGTTCAGAATGAAGCATAAGCATGGATCCCAACAGAATATAGTCAATTCAAAAAGCTGAGGCCCAATTGTGGGTCTTCCCATTGCGCCTGGGAAGCAACGCTCCTAATTAATCATAACATACTGCTTCTCATGGATAATGCCATGAGATCACCCAAGCTACTACCCACCAGCAACCACCTGTGGCCTTGAGAGATACGGACGTTCCTGCAACTAGGCAATCAAGCGCATAAACAGGCATACGTGGGAAAGTGAAAGCAAACCAGCGCATACCCATAGAATAGGGAAACATAAAGAGTATACACAGAGCATATACATAGAGAACAGGGAGATATATTGGCAGCTTGCTGATACCGCCCCTGCCCCAGGTTTTCCGGATACTAGTGTACTTTCCGAGGTACTTTTTTACTGCACATCTTCAGTGGGACGCCACGGGTTGGCCGCAAGTGTGCTACGCTTCCCAGATGTTGCGGTGTGATCGCGCCCTGAAAATCCACCTGACATTCGTGCCTTTAGCGCGGCAAATCCTCCGTGTGAACGGGGCCTGTGTCTAGTTGTGCCAAAAACTCAGTTGTACTCCATACTGACCACCCCACCTCGGGGGTGGTGGTGCTGCTGTCTTATGCATCCTCTAACCAACCTGCATGGTGTCTCTTGCAGCTTCAAGAAGCAGCAAACAGCAGCTCTGCAGAGAGTATCGCGGTGGAGAAGAAAAAGAAGGGGGACTCAGACCAAGAGGCACCCAGTGACCAAGACTGCAATGGCCGGGTTGTCCCGCGCGTGGTGTTGGAACGATCAGCCACAATAGACGAGGTGCGTCATATGTGGAAGAGGAACGGGAGGGTCCCAGAGCCAGGGGGAAAGGACAGGTCTCACAGGCCAAAACCCTTCCAACTGCTTGCTGGGAAATGAGAAAAGCCCCATTTTTATAAGCAATTCAACAAGTGGCTTGAAGGAAATGTACTGGAAGAGGCTTGATAAGAGGTTTTAACTGTAGGCCATGCATGGCCAATTTGCAGCACCCCAACGACTCCTTTGGTGCTCAGCAAACCAGCAGGAAGGCTGCATTGAGAGCTGTGAAAGTGAATAACTACGAGGCACTCACTGGGCGATCTGGGATACTTGCAAATGAGGCACAGGCAGAAATGGTGCAGAGCAGTTTGTGGCCGGCAAGAGAAGCTCTTTTACAGTGCAGTCCTAAACAGATCCTAGATCCGTTCTAAGGCCATTGACAGAGCTGTGGCGGGTAAGAAGACAAAATTTGGGGGCCCCAAGTTAGCTGGAGGCCATTCACTTAAGATGATCCAAACAAAGCAAGGAAAGCAATCCCAAATGCTTTCATTGACTTAAAGTTATTTGGCAGATTATTTGACACTTTAACGATGGTCTGGGCCTGGCTGGGGCGATGGCACGCGTGCCCACAGAGAGGGCTCTGAGTGCCACCTCTGGCACCTGTGCCATAGGTTTGCCACTGGTCTAAGCTTGTGGAGGAGAGAAGGGAAATCAGCGGGGCTTCTGGTTGCCCCCACAATACAGGTCTGGCAGGCAGTAAACTTTCCAGCTCGTCAGCTAGGAACTGGATCCTGATTGCCCCTCCCAAAAAATGCTGGGTAGAGCTGTAGGATGCTGGGGGGGGGGGTATCAGGATGGGATTTTTAAAAAAGTATGGCTAGTCTCATTGCAAAGGAGTTGCGGTGGCTCAAGTGGTTAAGACGCTGAACTGCGGGCTGTGAAAGGTCAGTAGTTCAGCAGTTCAAGACCCGGGTGCCGCATGAGGGAGTGAGCTCCCGTCTCTACTTCCAGCTCCTGCCAACCTAGCAGTTCGAAAGCAAGAAATTGCAAGTAGATAAATAGGGACCACTTCGGTGGGAAGGGAACAGCGTTCCGTGTGCCTTGGTGTTTAGTCATTCCGGCCACATGACCTCAGAAATGTCTTCGGACAGCGCTGGCTCTTCGGTTTTGAAACGGAGATGAACACCGCAACCCTAGAGTCGGATTTGACTGGCTTTCGAGCAAGGGAAGCCTTTACCTTTAGTCTCATTGCAGTTCCTTCCTTTGGCCAGAGCAGTGGGATGCCACCAGTGTTCCCTCTAAGCTGAGTTGGTGTGAGCTAGCTCACAGTTTTTTAGCCTCCGGCTCACACATTTTTGTCCTAGCTCAGGCAGGATGCCTCCAGAGCAGACTAATTTATGCAGTAGCCAAATCGCTTGCTCACAACTTTAATGCCAGTAGCTCACAAAACAGAATTCTTGCTCACAAGACTCCACAGCTTAGAGGGAACATTGGCATGCCACACAGGCTGAATCCCTGCCCCCCCACCCCTACCCCAGCACCACTTAAAAGACCCACATTGGGTTCCAGTCCTGCCAAGGCCCTGAGCCAGCCCTTCTCCTTTAGCAAAGAAACGGCTTTTCTTCCAAAGGATTTCTGTGCCATCTTTGCACCCAGCTCAAGGCAGCTGCTGAACCCTCCTCTTAACGCTGGAACTTGCATGTTCGTTGCAGTCAGATCCCTCGGAGGGACCCGTGAAGTCTGACCAGAACCACCTGCAGGTGGGCAATCAAGACGGGGCGGGTCTGCAGAAACGAGCAGGAAGCGCCCTCAGCGTCGTCTCCAACACCCTGGATGGTAAATGTCTCCCTGGCTTTGGGCAGAGCTGGATCGATCAGTTTTCATTAATGTGTATCGTTTTGAATATTTTTCCGAGTTGACATTTAAAAATGAAGAAAGATCAACTAATATAATAATATTGATAAAAGAGATTACAGAGATAGAATTGCAACTCCTTCCAGAAACTTTCCTTCTCAATATGTTACCAGACGGAATTAAGAGAGATGACCGATGCATTATTTTATATATTCTCGCGGTCGGTAGAATCCTCGTAGCAAAAAAATGGAAAACAGATATAATACCTAAAAGAGATGAGATAACTGAAAAAAATCCTTGAAATAGCAGAAATGGACAGATTAAATCTGATATTAGCAGAGCGAGATGACAATGACTTTCGGAAAAAGTGGACTAAAGTAAATAAATGGATGGGGAAAAATGTATATTTTTGTACTCCAAAGAATGTATTGTAAAGATGAATTTTCTTTTTTGTAATTAAAATCTATAAATAAATTATTTTTTTTAAAAAACTAATATAATAATAGCCGGTAGAAACTGCTGCGGAGTTTAGAATCTCTTCTAGATTTCTAAGACAAGCAGCAGCCAAAACTCCTCACACCCATTTTGTCCCTGTTAGCCGTCCTGAGCCCTCGGGGAAGGCGGGATACAAATCTAAAGAATCAATAAATAAATATTCCTTCAGGGTTCCAGCTCAAGAATCAGGAAGTGGAAGAATTTTTTGCAGATTGGATAGATCTTAAAGACTATCTGGAGAAATATTGGGATGTGAAGAATAATCTATTTTGCTTTGATAACTATTAGAGATAGAAGGACACTTAGAGTTAGTTCAAATGTGTAAGAATAATAGCTTAAAGAAATGTTACCTTATAAGTTTAATTATTGATGTGGGGAGAAGAGAGAAGAAAATAGAAGATTTGGAAGGGAGGTGGGAGCACTGCGGGAAGCCGGAAGGGGGGAGAGACGGGGAGAAAATGATATAAGATGGATGCTAAAATGTTACAGTGGTTGACTTGATGTTATATCCAAATAAAATTGTTTTTAAAATAAATAAATAAATATTGCTTCAGGCCCCCCCCCAATGTGTCTCTCAAAGGGAGCAAAACACACGTGGGAAAGGGGCGGGGGGACGGGACCCAAAGCAATAGGGACAAGCGAGTGACCGAAATGACAGTGCGGAAGTATCCCAGTGTCCTTTTCCCTCCTTAATTCTCATGTGTCCCTCTTTGGTGTTCTGTAGAAAAAGATCCTTTCCTGTGGGATGATTCTCCTTTCTTTTAGCAGTTTACTAGTGGCTATAGTCTCATTAAGGGCCACGGTGGAAGACTCGGGGGGGACGGGGAACTGCAGGCTGTGGAAGGTCTGTAGTTCAGCAGTTCGAGACTGGAGTGTGCCACATGACGGAGTGAGCTCCCGTCTGTGGCCCCAGCTCCTGCCAACCTAGCAGTTCGAAAGCAAGAAACTGCAAGTAGATAAATAGGGACCACTTCGGTGGGAAGGTAACAGCGTTCCGTGTGCCTTGGTGTTGAGTCATGCCGGCCACATGACCACGGGAACGTCTTCGGACAGCGCTGGGTCTTCGGCTTTGAAACGGAGAAGAGCACCGTAACCCTAGAGTCGGATTCGACTGGCTTTCGAGCAAGGGAACCTTTACCTTTACTTTACTATAGTCTCATTAAGGGCTACGGCGGCTCAGAGGTTAAGACGCTGAGCTGCAGACCGTAAGGCCAGTAGCTCGGAAGTTCGAGACCCGAGTGCTGCATGACAGAGTGAGCTCCCGTCTGTGGCCCCAGCTCCTGCCAACCTAGCAGTTCGAAAGCAAGAAATTGCAAGTAGATAAATAGGTACCGCTTCGGTGGGAAGGGAACAGCGTTCCGTGCCCTTCAGCATTTAGTCATGCCGGCCACATGATGACGGAAATGTCTTCAGACAGTGCTGGCTCTTCGGCTTGGAAACGGAGACAAGCACCGCAACCCTAGAGTCGGATTCGACTGGCTTTCGAGCAAGGGAGACCTTTACTTTTATAGTCTCATTACTACTGATGTGGCGTTTGCCAGAGGAACGTCACCCTTAGAGGCCCTTAATGCTAAAAGCAAACAGTGGCTTTCCCCTTAAGTGGGAAACGCCTTCTAGCATTGGGTGTGAACTGAAAGGAAATATTATCTTTTAACTTGCTTTCCTACTGAATTTAGGAGGAGTCCGGTGCATCTGTGCACTGGCTTTTTAAAGAGTTCGCCATCAGCATTGAAAGCTTGTCAATTGATGTCACTGACCTCCAGCTTCATGGTGGCCCTCGGCAGGGGTCATTTCATAGAAAAAGAGGTGCAGGAGCTCACTAGCATAACTCATTAGCATACCTTATTTGCATATGCCACACCCCCTGACATCACCGGAAGCGTGTCAGAAGGCAACACCCACCATTCAGGCTCCACTGGACTGTTTTGGATTGCTAGCTATTGGATGGGGGAACGTGCAGATCAGTCCTCACAGAGGAGGGAGAGCTTGTACCTGAATAAAACTTGGTCTTAAAGGTGCCACTGGACTGTTTTGGGCCGGGGGGGGGGGGCTCTGCAACTTACCTGGCTGCTTCTTGCTCTAACTGAGGGCTGCTGGGAGCAGGGGGTGGGGCTTGTTGCATGTGCCCGCCCCCTGGGCTCTTTACTGCCGGAGCTCCGCTCCTGTGCGCTCCTGCAGGAAATGACCCCTGGCCCTCGGTAACTAGCTGCTTGCACTGAAGTCTCTTGGCTTCTGCTTTCAGAGCTGGAGGAGGCACACCAGAAGTGTCCGCCCTGGTGGTACAAGTTTGCCAACGCGGTCCTCGTGTGGAACTGTTGCCTGCCGTGGGTAAAGTTTAAGCAGTTTGTCAAGCTCATCGTCATGGACCCCTTTGTGGATCTGGGGATCACCATCTGCATTGTCCTCAATACTGTCTTCATGGCCATGGAACACTACCCAATGACTGAGGAGTTCAACCACGTGCTGGGCGTGGGCAACCTGGTGAGAACGGCATGCCGTCTGTTTTTTGCATTTTGGTTTGGCAGTTGGGGAACTTGGAAAGCTGGAGAAGTGAGCCTTGGTACCATGAGACAGTAAGAGTGGCCATGGGAAAAGTTGGTGGCACCTCTTCCCCATCATTCTGTCTTACCAAGATGCCCTTGGGAAGCTCCCAAGTGGAGCCGCAGGGAGAGGGTTGGGGATTTTTTGCAAATGGAGGCTCCGTTGCAGCTGTAATGGCTTTGATGAACCTGCAACCCTGAATTCCAACCTTTTCCAAAAAGCCATCTATGCGACCGACCCGTTGTCCGTTTCGTAGGTGAGTGGGGCATTGTTTGCAGAAATACTTCCTGTCTCTGTCAGTTTCACTGAATGACCAGCGGCTCCAGTGGCTTGAGAGGGACAGAGCGCTTTCTTTTCACGCCATTTATAATCCCACAAACTTCTGTTATGCTCCTGTCTGGACCAAGGACAAACACTCTCCCGTTCTCAGGCGCTGAGCTCACAGCCACCGGGGGCCTTGGGGTTCCCACTGGGTCCTGGTCCTTTGCTGAGGCTCTTTTTCTGGGTTCCTCTCGAGGATGCAGACAGACACTCAGCAGACACTCCCAGCGTGGTGGGTTAAAAAATACCTCTGCATTTATTTGAATCCTTCAAATAACAAAGAGTGTTTGCTGGGCAGAAACCACTCACAAATTACAGCAATGGCAACAATACAACAGCAACACTATACTTGCACTGGGCAGAGGCTGAGCCTGAAGCATTAACTCCTTGGTGGCTTCCTTCACTGGGGTAATCTTGCGACCTGGTTTTCTCACCCGAAGTCTTAGGAAAGAGAGTCCACTCCCACGGGCACAGTCCGCAGCATTTCAGCTTGAAGTCCTGGAGGCCTCAGCGGCCTCTGTTTGTTTCTTGTGTGACTACTGCGCGTTTACGTAGCCCCCTCCTTCCAATCAGGGCATACTTAGATTCCCCCCCCCCCTTGTTAGCTGGCAGCCAGGTAAAGGCATCTTATGCAGCTGGTCGAGGCCACCAGGTGCTTTTAATTAACGCTCAGCCCAAACAGGCTGCAACCAACCTGTGAAAACTTATAGCTTGGCCGCATTCATGAAAGCCTGAGATCTGTAAGTTCTAATCCTTACAGCTCCCCTTCCAGTAATTTGATTGTAAGGCTCAAAAGCTTCAACTTCTTAAAATGTCTACCTGAAAAAGTGTGCATGCACACGAAAGCTATACCTTGAATAAACCTTCGTCGGTCTTAAAGGTGCCACTGGACTCTAAATTTGTTCTCCTGCTTCAGGCCAACAGGGCTGCCCACCTGAAATATATTCTGTCCCACATTCGTCGCTGCCCTTTTCTATACCTTCTCCAGTTCTTGGGCAGACGTTTTGGAATGGAGGAACCGGCAATGCTGTTACAAAGCTTGCGGTGGTACAGAAAACCATAATTTGGGCACTTTATAAACGTTAAATCGTTGAGCTAAAATTCTGCACCAGGGAGAAAAGATACTGGGATTTCTCCCCTCCCCCCCTTTAGAAAAGTAGCTGAGAACCAAGAGCACGTAATGTACCTTGCTGTGTCTCCTAGATCTCCTGCTGATCACCAAAGTTTATTAATGGTTTTGTTTTCCATGAATCGGTACGTGAAAGTCATCATTTTAAACATCAGCCTCCTATAAAAGAGGTGGTATGAACAGTGAGAAACCGCCCTCTGGGTCACTGCTCCTTTCCAGTTTGCTGGCTTGCCCACTTGCCCATGGCAGCAGTGACAAAGATAGGCATCCATCCCCCCCCCATGGTTCCAGTGCTGAGACAGGGACTCAGGGAATCACAGAGTGGGAAGGGGCCACAGAGGTCATCTAGTCCAGCCTCCTGCTCAATGCAGGATAAGCCAGAGCATCCCTGACCAGGGTTTGTCCAGCCGCTGCTTAAAGACTGCCAGGGAGGGGGAGCTGACCACCTCCCTAGGCAGCTGATTCCACTGCTGTGCAACTCTTACAGTAAAAAAGTTTCCCCTTATATACAGCCAGTACCTTCCCGCCCTTAATTTAAACCCATTGTTGTGGGTTCTGTCCTCTGCTGCCAACAGAAACAGCTCCCTGCCCTTCTCCTCTGACAGCCCTTGAAATACTTCAAGAGAGCCATCATGTCCCCCCTCAGCCTCCTCTTCTCCAGACTGAACATTCCCAAGTCCCTCAGCCTTTCCTCACGGGGCTTGGTCTCCAGGCCCCCAATCATCCTCAACGCTCTCTTTTGTCCCTGCTTCATTCTGCCCACACTCTTTTTGAAGTGAGGCCTCCAGAACTGCACACAATACTCCAGGTGTGGCCTGAACAATGCAGTGTACAGCAGGACTATGACATCTTGCGATTTGGATGTTATTGTCAGGACCCACAGCTAAACAACGCAGTACACGCTTCCAAGAAGGTTTTACTTTTATTGAAAAGCCATAGATGCATTATCATGAGCACTGTTAGGAATGGTGGGATACATATGCGCATAATGGGATATAGGGTATTCGTATGCACACACCCCCATCATCCGGGCCAGTTAGGCTGAGGCCCGCACGTGGGCAATTCTCAAACGGACGCTTAGCCAGGAAAGAAACTCTCCCACGAGAAGTAGACACCACATACCCTCCAGCATAACCTTCAAGATAAGCATTGCGGCACACAAGCAATTAAGCGCATGGGAAGGAATGCGAAGTAAAAAGTAAACACCTCCACACTCATGGCAGCATTGCTGACAGTTATGCCTCTGTTGATGCAGTCCAAGATCACATTAGCCTTTTTTGCTGCTGCATCACTCTGACTGCTCACATTTAGCTTACAGTCCATCTATACCCCATAGTCCTCATAGGGAAAGCAGTGGGAGCTGACACAATGGACTTCTTCCTTACAGGGAGCTTCTTCCTTACAGGGATTCCCCCCCCCCCCCCACACATTAGCAGGAATCCCTTTCATTTGTCAGCTTTTCAGGGCTTCCCCTATTACACTGGATTAGAAACAAACCCTCTCTGATCCATTCAAAGGGGCGACTGCGGGGAAGGGTTGCCAGGTCCCTCCTGGCAACTGGCAGGGGATGGGGGGGATTTACCGGGAGTGGGAGGGAGGCCCAGCCAACGTTGCAGCAACGTGTCTACGTCACTTTTGACATGACCCGGAAGGGGCATCATCACACAACAAGATCAGGCAATGCTCTGGTATTTGGGCAAAAACTCTATGGTAAACTTGGCTCCTGCCATAGAGTTTTTGCCCAAATACCAGAGTGTTGCCTTGATGTCACCAACATGATGTCAGAAGTGACGTAGCAGGGCTATTTTTGGGCAGGAACGCACAGGAACGGAGTTCAGGCTGGCTCCTGAGTTGGCCACACCCAGCAGGAACTCATTAGCATAATAGGCCACACCCAACAGCAGAAACTCATTAGGATTGGCTACATTAGGGGTGTGTGGCCTAACATGCAAAGGAGTTCCTGCTCCAAAAAAAGGCCCTGGGTTTTGACAACAAACAAGGTAAACAGAATAACAAGCAAAAGGTGGGTGTGGCTAGATGACCACACTTCTTGTAACATGGGGGTGCGGCCTAATGTGCTAATGAGCTGTGCTGGCAGGGGTGTGGCCTAATATGCTAATGCGTTTCTGGTGTTGGGTGTGGCCTATTATGCTATTGAGTTCTTGCTGGGCTTTTTCTACAAAAAGAGCCCTGGATGTAGACATGTTGCTGCAATGTTGACTGGGCCTCGCTCTTTTTGAGGGTAAGACCGCCCTACCAGCCAGATGATTGGTGGTGGGGCCTGGAGTTGGGGTACCTCCACTGATAGGTCTGGCAATCCTACTACAGGGGGGCTGTGGGCAAAATATCCATCTGAACACTCTACTTGCATGTGATATGGGGAAGGAAGGGGGGAGCTAAGCTCTGCTTTCAAAATGGTACAAAATTAAAGGACCACGGTGTGTAAGGATGTCAGATGGGCAGAGAACAGGCAGGAAGGGGAAATCAGTTAAGTTGCTTTCCAGACTTACCCCCGTCCACCTTCATACAAATGCTAATAGGTCTAGGATGCCCAAGCAGGGAACAGAGATTTGGAGGACTTTAGACTAGAAAGGTTCCAGGTATCATCTCCAGGAAGAATCCTCAGGAAAAGCATCTCTGCTCCAGTCTGACCTGGTCAGTGGGAGAGGAAAGACAAGATAAAACTCAGGGGAGCAAGGAGGAAGGCCTCTTGTGTCCTGAGTCCATCAGAGCAGACAGAACTCGTAGTTTAGGTCTGGAAGAAGCAGCCATTGACCATGTGCTGGCCTGGAGGGGTACAAAAGGCTTTAAGGTAATGGTACCTCGGTAGAGATCTGTAACTTCCTAACTTGTTTCTAAGCCTGTCCTATATTTTAACATCTGATAGGGCATGTATAGAGAGAGGCACAGAGGAAGTGTATTTCACCAATTTCTTTTGAATCCTTTGCTCAATCTGGTGCTGTGCTAAAACTATGCTTGTGTACATTTTCTTTTTAATGAACGTTTTATAACTTTGGATGCTGGTAGTGTTTCTTTGTACCACATAGACCTCCACCATCTCAGCTATTTTAAAAAGGGAGCACCTGCAGGAAAGACAGGCAATTGACAAGTAGGTATTCCTCCAGGTGCTCACAAGGCAGTAAACTGTCCACGTGAGGACCAGGCACTGGGCAGTGGGAGACACAGAGGCAAGGCCTAAGAACTGGGAAGGGAAGTTGGGAGTCCTTACCCTCTCAGCGGGCAATTCCTACAGAGGTCAGGTGGTGGTGGTGGGTTACCGGAGAGAGAGACACGCCTCTACAGCTGTAGGGAACACCTTGGAGGGCAGTGTGGAACAGGGCCTAGAGGCCTGAGCAGGCCCATTCCGCCATGTTGCCTTATATTTTCCTTGTTTGTGTAAAAGTATTCTATTTAAAGATTAGTATTCTATTTAAAGATTTAAAGAGCTGCGGTGGCTCAAGTGGTTAAGACGCTGAACTGCAGGCTGTGG